ACGCGATGGTGTGGTCCCACCGTTCAACCAACGAGTTTGTTAGAATTGTGTCACGAGGTATAAAATGGCGGATGAAATAAAAATAATAAATGCAAAGAAGCGCGCAGTTCCCCCTCGGCGCTTTATTCTTCCAGAGGCGAGCATCGCAGTGCCATGGCGTTCAACTTGTGCCGTCTTCATGGCGCCATGAAAGACCCTCTTGAAGCAATTAATTTGCCTTAGCGCGTTGGCCTGCTCCTGGCTCCTGGGTTTTCGTGCGCGCCCAGAGTGCGAAGCTGCGATGACAACCTGCAAGTCCGCGCTAGATCTGCGGATGGCTACACGGTGGGGGGTGGGGAGGTGCGGTGTGTGGATGACTCGTGAGGTGCCCAGGAGGAAGCCGGTCAAAGTTCAGTGCCGGGGCGAGGTCTCGGTACGGAGCGGTTCCTTTTTCGAAGGATCGCCACCTGACGATTCTCCAACTCGTGAAAATCATCCTCCAGATGACAGAACCTACCGTGCGCCGTCATTCAGCGGGAGGCTGATATCGCAAGTAAGACAATAACTGATTGGGCGGGCCTTTGTCGGGAGATTGTGGTAAATGCCGTCTTTAAGCATTAAGACATGATTGGTGGCGAAGGCGTGACTGTAGAACTAGACGAGAGTATGTTGGGTCGGCACAAGTACCATCGCGGGTATTTAAGGCCTGGCCAGCGGGTGTTCGGCGATGTGGCGCGTTGCAGCGGGTGCTGCTTTCTTGTTCCCGTAGAGACCCGTGATGCTAAAACCGTGCAAGGGCTAATAGCCGAGTGGGTCCGTCCTGGAACAGGAATAATCACTGATTGTTGGGCTGGCTATCGCAAGCTTGCAGATGACGCTCGCTTCACGCACCTCACCGTCAACCACAAGCTGCACTTTGTCGACGCAAACACTGGTGCGCACAGCAATACGGTGGATTGCACCTGGGCCCACCTCAAGAACGCTCTTCCATCTGGACGGCGCGAGAGCCACCATTTCACTGGTCACCTTGCAAAGTTCATGTTTTGGAGGAAAGGGAAGGCGCGCGGAAACACTAATAGATTCCAGTCGTTCATCGCTGCGGCCGCCAAAATCTACACTCTAAGAAAAAAGGGAGGAGAAAGGTAGCAAAAGCGAGTGTTCCTCCTTGTTGCGGACAAGTTGCCCAGAGAAGGGAGGAACGGCAGTTCAGATGACGGGAGGAGGCCGAGTTGCTCCTTGTTCAGTTGGCGCAGGGGTAGAACATCGCGCTACTGACCAAGTGGTCAACGGTTCAATCCCCAGAAAAGTTTTTTTTTTTTTTTTTGTTTATTAAAACACACATAAACAAACCCAGATCGATGAAAGGAAAATTAAAGTCCTTATTATTCTCCGAGACGTTTTCCTCCTCCAGGCAGACCGGAGAAAGCTTTCGCCCTCTCGACTCATCTTCTTTCGGTTTCGTTTTTCGAGCACATCGCGCACGTTGTTTAATAAATTAATGTTGAGTTGATTGAGCTTCAGCGGCAGCGAAGGCCGCCTGTAATTTTGTCTTCTAGTCCAAACGTGCAGAACATTTCGGTTGCATTGACGTTTTTACCACTAATTTTATCAAACGAGCTAACGAAGCCGCTAGAAACAGCGAAGTTCCGGAGCAGTGCCAGCAGCGCTACATACACTGGGTAAGACGGCCGTCTCCGATTTGCGGGACACACGCGGAACTACAGCAGCGAAACCACGAGGAACTGTGTCGACGTTTTCGACGTTATGGAAATCGCGGGAACTGCGTCCAAGGAAGGCAGGTTTTCCTGCCGGCTGCCTGGGTGCCTTCCGTGCTGAGTTCGGTTCCGTTGTCCCCTGCCAAGTGCCAACCGGCGTTCAACGTGATTCTTCTGCGTGTCAGCAACATCGTCAACGTGGTTCTGTATTTCTTCGTGTCAGCGACATCGTGATGGCAGTGTCGTGGGTTGTGAACAGAAGACTGGAATTATCGCCGATGTGACCGTGTGTTCGCGTATCAGTGGTGTAACAACAAGATGAGATGACGTAAACTGTCGGGCATTGATGCCGCTGGTCAGGCCGTTATCGGAGGGGCCGGGGTGTCGCAGGATCACATTCCGCTTTACATTAAAGAGTTTAAAACCACTTGAGGGATTAGGTGCAGTCGATCGACGTGTGGATAGTCATGTTGGAACGCTGGTCTGAACGGTAAGCTGGGTAAGCTCCTATCGTACAGTGGCCAATGTGACTGTCGGTCCCCGAGAGCGATTGCGCTCTGGGGAAAAGACAATACTACGAAAGTATGACGGAAAGTACGTATATTTATAATGGAAGTTTAGCATAAAAAAAAAGACAGGCAAAATCGAAAAAAAAAAAAAAAACAACGCTATCCTTTATTTTACTGTTTAAATATATTACGGTTCCTGTAGAAACTGCCCTCTAAGTGGCGCGCTGGCATGAGCGCTAGAAGTTTTCGAGCTCGCAACGGCGCAGCTCCGTACACTTAACAGTTGTCGCAAGTCGCGGCTTTGACTGCATTCAAGTTGATCGAAAAGCGATTTCTGTGCCCGTGAAGCATCACTTCCAGCTGAGTGGATATCCGCTCTACAGAGATTAATTCAAGACGGCAATTGCAGCTTTGCGCGAACAGCACAAATAGAAAAACGAACACTACAATATAAATACTGGCTACGAAGGGCCATGCGGGAAAACGAACTCATGGCTTGGAACCACATTGGAGCGGCTCGATTTATTGGCTTTCAAATAATTATGGCATGATCGAGCGTCTTCTTTTTAATAAGAGATTCATCCCCTGAGCCATTAAAAATAGCCTCAGATGTATGACATTGCTGGAAAGAAATGAACATGTTCGGAATATTTTGTTTTGCTTAGGGAGTCACCGAAAAATTCCGTACGTTCAAAACGACCACTATAAAAGACGGAAACGCAGGGCTCGGTAGTAGTGATCGGGGTTGTGTGCTGTTGTATTGATGATTGTATGTGCGATGCCTGTGTATGCGTTCAATATATGTTGACCTGATGTTTGTAGTGTGCGCAACGTGTCTACATGTGTTAGAGATTCCGAAGAAAAGGAAACGTAATTGTGGCGTAAGGAAATAAAAATATTTTTTTGTAAAACATGAATTGGGCGGTACCTAGCGCCGCCTAGCCTAGCTACGTGCGATTACTCTGCTTGACCCTGCCATCTGGTGGCAAGCGATTTAACATCCTTTTACGCTACGCGGCTACGCCATAATTTCGTGTTACCGTGTTGAGATAAGCCAAGAGGTTGCTTCGGATTTGCTTATTTTTGAGAGCGGCTTTTGGTTTTGCGGGCGAATGATTTTCACTCCTCCGTGATGTGCGGTTGAGGCAACGGTTGACGAAGGAATTGTGGCTCGAGGAATAGCAAAGGTAGGACATAAAGTGCGCGAACTGAGTGCCGGTTGTCTCCGTTGAACATCGCAGTGCTGACGATGAGAAGACTGAGTGACTGCATGCTTTCGAAACGTAAGTTTCTTTACCTGCAGGGGTAAAGAAACTTCGGAAATAAATACAGTTCGCGGAAAGCTCGTGTTCCGTTTTTATTTCCTGCTCCTCTCGCTTCGTGCAATAGACTTAGTGTTCTCGTTAAGCCTTACCGAGCTCGATTTGCTCGATTCGTGGCCGCCATAATGAGATGCAGTCGACGGAGGAACTTTTCCTCCCCTGCTTAAGGGACGAAAGTTTCTCCCTTTCTGAAGGAACATATGTGTCAAGAGCGTTCCTCCCTTTAGGGAGGACTATACTGACCCTTTTTTCTAAGAGTGTAGAGCCCCGACGCAGACAGGGCGAGGATTCTGACGGCCCCGGTGACTTCGAGTGATCCGCTGCGCTGAGCCCGTCACCTGCCTGCATGCATAAAGACGACTTATCCGCCAACCGCTCGTCAAGTGCTCGTTACGTCAGTTATAGGTTCTGGTAGCGGTCTAAACGGTCCTTTTCAGGGCCCCCATATTTTGCAAACGGAGCTGTGTTTTGAATGCGGCACCCCGTGTCTCTGTAAAAAGTTCACAGGAAAGACCCTGCAAACATATCTGGTCCCCAACTTGGATATCGGGTGTTATGATTCAAATAAAAATTGTTCTTGCTTATTTCGCGCCTTTGATCCGAATAAATGCCGCAGTTGCAGTCGTCCCGCAGTGCTGTTGCTCGCCCATTCGCCGTCGGCGTGCCTCAGCTTCGTCGTCTTTGCTAGCACCGCACCGGCGAAGGCGGCCTTTGATCCGAATAAATGCCGCCGCTGCAGTCGTCCCGCGGTGTTGTTGCTTGCTCGATCGCCGTCGGCGTGTCTCAGCTTCGTCGTCTTTGCTACCGCACCGGCGGAGGCGGTTGATCTGACACACCGCGTTCGGCTTTGGCTAGCAGACGGCGTTCGTAAAATGGCGTCAGCTGTTGCTGGCTTCACGCGGCGGTACCATGCGTGCTTCTATTCATTCGGCGTTCGTTGCCATGGTGACGGCGAGGAAAGCAGACGAACTTTTTGATGCGGAAGAACGCTGCGGCGCAGCGATACCAGGTGCGTTCTAAGGCCCTTCCCGCATGCTTTTCAATGGGCGGAAGGCGAACAAAAAGAGTTTGAAATAAGGACTTAACACAGAATGCTGCATTTCTCCAGCGCCTCATTATTTGACGAGCCTTGCACGAAAAGCATGTTTTTAGACCGGAGTTTGGAGATAGTTTTTTTTACAACAACATGGGTCTAAAGTATCAATGTGCCGGAGATACTTTTCGTCGGCAATGGGTCAGTTCATTCATAGTCTCAAAATAGTTTTAGCTTTTTTTATAGATCATAACATATAAAAACCATATCCCTCTAAAATAAAAAAAAATTAAAAAAATTAGCCACCCTCTGTTAGTGATACGATGATGATGATAGCTGTCACTCGATTCGTGGAATCGAAACTTACTTTATCCACTTTATCCGTCTGGCCAATCCATAAGCCGCAGCGCAGTTTTTGAGCTCTTGTTGGAGTCGAGCGAGTCTAGGGTCCGGTTTGTAAAGTTTCAGGATTTCAAATCTCTGCCTCTGCTTTCAGAACTTTCAGTTTTACCACAGGCTTTTCGTTCCAGCTTCGTGGAGCAAATTTTTCTGGTAAGTACTTAGTCATTAGACCAGAAGGAGGCGTTTCAGCACACGGTTTTCGCACTGCAAAAGCTGGTAGGTCTTGGAAAGTAGACCTCCCACCAGTTTTCAGTCCCGTTCGCCGACATCTCGCGGGGATTGGGGTTTTGGAAATGATACTAGCTCTTGAAAAAGCCATTGGTTTGATCAGGGAAGTGGGTTGAAAGAACCATTTATGGTGGCACGGGAAAACTTGCAATGAAGGGTCAGAAAATGTGTGCGAGGTAAAATGGTGGACTTCTGTGGCCGCTCCATAATGGCAACGCCACGCTAGATGTGAGGCTGTGATGCCAGGAAGGATGCTTTCCAGAGCGGGTCCATATTGTTTCGTTGAAGCACGTTTCATGGTAACGCGTTTCTCCTGGACTGCGTAGAGGGGCTTTAGGACTACGTCGTGCGACTTGACCGGAAGTTGCTATTCGCTGATGGTGATGAGGATGATGCATGTGCTTTTTCGCTCTGTAACGGGTTGGTCACGTATTAACGCTCCAAGCCTGCGGGCTTAGTCTCCACATTGGTCTTTTTTCCTCCACCAATCTTCCAGTCATCACTTTGCATCTTCGACTATCAACCTCTCTCTCCTGTTGTTGCCATTGCTTGTGGGCATACCTCGGCAAACCTCACTCATGAGGGCCCTCACTCACCCTCACTCACCCTCATCTTGAGTGAGTGAGTTTCTGAACCAGGAAAATTCATGAGTGTGAGGGTGAGTGAGGGCCGTGAGGGCCGTGAGGGCTGTGAGGGCTGTGAGGGCGGTGAGGACCGTGAGGACCGTGAGGGCTGTGAGGGCGGTGAGGGCGGTGAGGGCCGTGAGGGCGGTGAGGGTCGTGAGGGTCGTGAGGGTCGTGAGGGCGGTGAGTGGCGTGAGGGCCATGAGTGCGTGATTGGTGTCAGGGCGGTGAGTGCGTGAGGGGTGTGAGGGCCATGAGTGCGTGAGGGCAGTGAGTGGCATGAGGGGCGTGAGGGCCGTGAGGGCGGTGAGTGCATGAGGTGGTTTGAGGGCCGTGAGGGCAGTGAGTGCGTGAGGCCCCCTTCAGATCGAGCATCTTTCTCAGCAATTTTGGTGTTAATGGCGGGTTGTTCTCTAGCTTTCCCTAGATCGACACGAATTGCTGAGATCGGGTCCGGCTCGAAAGAAGCAAGCAACTCGGAGCAATTCGAATACGTTTGAAGCGGCCGCATCTAATCAGGGACGCAAAATTTTCACGTGATACCTCGTGCCGGTGATGATGACACCGAAAGATTTGGTTCTCGTTTGAAATCGATCGTTTTTTGGAAATAAACTGTTTCAGAAAGGTGTATTAGTATTCTTAACGAGATTTAAATGCATAAAAACACGTTTATAACGCGTAAATGTGTCTTAATAGTGCAAGAAAAATAATATTTTATGATGACGATGGCAAATTGCAGCAATTAGTTGCTGCGTGTGATCGCGGGCGGCGCGTGTTGCTGGTGTTGCGACGTAAAGTTCCTGGCCGAAATCGCCCCATCTGAAGCTGGCCTGAGTGGCGTGAGGGCCATGAGTGGCGTGAGGGCCGTGAGTGGCGTGAGGGCGGTGAGTGGCGTGAGGGCGGTGAATGGCGTGAGGGCGGTGAGGGTCGTGAGGGCGGTGAGGGCCGTGAGGGCCGCGACGGCGGTGAGTGGCGTGAGGGCTATGAGTGTGTGAGGGCCGTGAGGGCCGCGACGGCGGTGAGTGGCGTGAGGGCTATGAGTGCGTGAGGGCCGTGAGGGCAATGAGGGCAATGAGGGCGGTGAGGGCCGTGAGGGCGGTGAGGGCCGTGAGGGCGGTGAGTGGCGTGAGGGCCGTGAGGACGGTGAGGGCTATGAGTGCGTGAGGGTCGTGAGGGCAATGAGGGCGGTGAGGGCCATGAGGGCGGTGAGTGGCGTGAGGGCGGTGAGTGGCGTGAGGGCCATGAGTGAGTGAGGGCCGTGAGGGCGGTGAGGGTGAGTGAAGTGCTGAAGGTGAGTGTGACTGTGAGGGTGAGGGTGAGTGAGGGGCTGAAGGTGAGTGTAGCTGTGAGGGTGAGGGTGAGTGAGGGGCTTAGGTGAGTGTGGCTGTGAGGGTGAGGGTGAGTGAGGGCGACCTAAAATGCCGACCTCTGCCTGTGGGTAGATGGAAGCCCAGTGCCTGCTGTTGCGTAATTGGTGCCTGCGCGGAATTCGGAGCGCGCTCTGCGCTCCGTTGTGGTTAAGCGGCCCTTAGTCGCTGTGTGTGCAGCCCACCTCATCACATGTTGGCGTCGAGCCCGGACAACGCAGGATCAAGTGATCAATTGTCTCCTCTTCCCAGTCGCAGGCGCTACACTCGGTTGTCACTATTAAGGGGTCGAACCGCTGTCGCTATAGTTGCTTGCAGTGCTCCCGCTCAGGCCTCAAATATGAGACGGTTGCTCACGCTGTTATTGTAGAAGTTGTCCGATTCTATACTCGGTTTGTGGGCAATATAAAATTGAAGAGATGATTTCGTGCCTGCTTCGACCCTGTGCGGTGGCGTACTCGGCGGCCGCCGCCGCGCGTGCGCTATGCCGTGCCGTACTCGTTGCTTGTATACCCAAAAGCACTGGAAAACGAGTGAACTCGTTCCGTGCCGTACTCGGCAGCTGTCGGCGTGCGTGCGGTCTCCCGCACCCGTCGCTAGGCCTAAATTGTCATCGGGGCTCCGTGGATGGAGCGGCGTTGCTCTACGCCGCGCTGCCAGTGACGTACAGTGTTGGCGCTTTCGCGCGGCGGGTCAGTCCCAGACACGAAGCTTTGAGGCTCTCCGGCGCGTTCCGCAACAACCGAACAGACGTGTGTCGAGCTGCAGACGTCTGTTTTTTGTTATTTTTTTTCTCAAACGCGTAAAAGCCGAATTTGTAAGCTACGACACTAATTCACCACATAAGTTCGTCCAGGTAGTGAATCTTTGTACAAATAAAAAAAACTTGCCGCACTAAAAAGAAAAAAAGTTCTTTGGGCAGTTATTTTCTTCTCAAAGCTAGCAAAAGTTTTTGTGGGTGATAAAGGAAAACAGAGAACGTTAGCAAGGTGAGAACATTTTCTTTCCCTTCCGCATTCCCACCCCCACCCACAACAATTTTTTTTATTAGAATACATAGGATTTTAAGTTTTCCTTCGTAACTTTTGACTAAAGTGTTTTTTTTTTTTCATTTTTAAATATTATATTTACCTCCAGCCGAACTCGGGCAAATTAGAGAGTTGTAACTTACAAATCCGAACTTTCGCGATTTCTTTTAAGTCCCTTGTGGTATTCACAAGCGCAATGTTAATTAATACTGCTGCGTAACGGGTTCGAACGATTGGGAGGCGAATGTTTATATCGCATGAGCTTCACGCGCCGGCCGTTCGCTTTTATAGTAGTCGTTACGGACCTGAATACTACGCACGAGATTGCGTAGTAAACAAGCAGTGACGCAAAGCAGAACATTGTTTTCGTTTTCATTACAAACTTCAGTGTTTGGAGCTAGTTAGTGATTGTACTCTACATGCCCACCATTCCCTATTCAATGGAGCATGAATGCTCAATCTTCAACACTGCACTTGACAATGACTGTTTTATTTATTGATCAGGATACTCTTATCATGTTTACCTTTTCGGTACATGTACGATGGGCAAAGAGCGACGGCACGGCATCCTTTTTAAGCCTCGACCCCTTCGCTGACAAGCCACAAGCAACCAACACCCGTAGGTTTTGTTCGTAACTCTCCGGCGAAAAATGATCGGAGCAGAGCTTCGATCTGGGGGTCGACGTCCAAGGCTTTCCAAAGTCCACTCGTCGAACAGCGTTCACCCACACCTTCTCCAATTTCCGCTCCGTTGGAAACTTGTGAAAAAGCACCTCCGGGTTGCGCAGCGGCTTGTTTGAGCAGCCCACAGCGCTTTAAGCTGTACTCGGCATCTTTCGAGGAACAGCTGGGCAGTCTTGGACGCACCGAGTTGCTCGCTAAAACGAGTCTAGGAGACCTCGCAAGCAAATAAACAAAAGGCTATACCGAGGCTACACGGGCTACAGGTAAAAGCAACGGCTAAACACGCAATAACAAGCCGAAGTAGCGGTGGTAGCGGCACAAAGAAACGCACGCGACGGCTACGCCGTGCTCCCGTCCGGAACGGAGGAAAAAAAGAGAACGATGTTGACATCACGGCCCAATGTTGCTTTAGCGATCGGCAACCCGCTGGCCGCCCGCTAAGGAGCAGCGGCTCGCGGCGGGTCGCATTTTTAATATCGGCATTAGTTGAGAATGCGGCGTCGCACGGACGTGAAATTTTGGCTGAGGTCGTATTTTGTGTCACTAAAGCGATACCAGTAATTTAATTCATTTTGAGTTTTGGCCGGAGTTGCCCTTTAATACCCCCGAGTCCTCGCCCACCCCCTGCCGTCTGAAATTCGTAACAAAAGTTGGCTGGGCCATGTCTTGTTGGGTAAGCACAAAAAGTTCAGAGAAAGCTAAAAAATGCCCATTTCTCTGTACGTATCTAGCGCTGCTGCACAAGAGGTACATTATTCTCAAAACTCGAATTGGCGACGACGCTCCGCCATTTTTGGCTCAAGTGCGTCCCAGCATGCAGCAGCTTCGCGGTACTAGTTTATAAAATCCATCCAGTGCTTTAGTCGTCTGAATAGGAACCTCTGGTCAAGTCGCACACTGTCGTGAAAATAGCATCTCTTCATGAACAAGTTTTCATGGACATACAGTGGCTGGCAATATGAGTTAGAAGTGCACGAAGTGCAGTCGAGCAGTTCAGACTATGCAACTAGCGGGTAGCCAGCAAAGAATGAAATCAGCAGTGACGGTGTTCAACTTCGTTAACGCAACCCCCGCGCATGATACATACCTCTGCACACTCCGCCAAACACGTGATGGCGTTTGTGTCGCGCGGTCTATACCGCCTGTTTTCCGTTCGCGCATTCCAGCTCATATTGCAGGCCACTCTACAGTCAGGCAAGAAGTTATTAACTACACGGGAG